GGATCGACGTACAATGGGTCGTTAAAAATATCTCATTCGTACACGCGTTTGGGATCTTTCATTCTTGAAATTATTGGAAATACGCAGGTACTTTTCGCAAGATTAATATTGATTTTTCTTCAGATAGGGGTGAAATTATTTTTGCACTTTCTTATTTCCATTATGTTATTTTAATTAACACTTTGACTGCCACGTTGGTCATATATGACCGGCCACGGTTTCTCCTCTGACGCCATGGTGGCCATTCGTGATCGGAGCGCTTGTACTACTTAACATTAGATTTACGGATGGAAGGGTTGCTCCAATTATACGACGGTAACAGATTTAGTTAACTTATATTAAGATTGTTAATATAATATATAATTGTTTTTAAATCAAACTAATCGTTAAAAGAAAAGGCACGTGGATTCCTTTACCTGTCAGTTTCACAGGTGTCCTTAGAAATAGGTATACAGATAGCGTTCGTACAACAACATTGAATGAAAATTGACAGTTAGTGCATTCTGAATATAACCGCCAATTAGAAGATACTTTGAAATAAAAAGTGTCCCATTGAACGATTAAAAAGTTTTATTAGAACGATTAGAAAAATATTGGAACAAATCTTCGGGGTGCACTCCTGAGCAAAGCATGTGTTTTCGGCGTGGCAGTGAAAGGATTAACCCTTTGCACTCGATTTATTTTCAAAGTTGTTGGGTATCATTTGTATTTATTTTGAACTAAATGAATTGAAGTAATTTACAGTGGTAGAATTGAACGTGTTATATTTATTTCATTTATTTTTATTATTATAAATTGATATGCGAGTTTTAGAGTAAATTAGCATTGTCACCTCCAGCGTGACACACGAGTGTGCAAAGGGTTGACATTCCTCGCGAAAGTATATCGGGAAAATGTCTGCTGACAAGATAAACTTCGCAATAGCAGTAATAATCGCGCGGATGAAACCAGCCACATTTATCTCTGTTCCATTCGCTTATTTATTTTTCTGCTCGATTAGCTCACGCGACACCGTGCGATCCGAATTAGAAGCGATCTTGACACTAATTCGCAAGTAATTGATCACCTAGATAAGCCGGTGCTGGTCACATCTCGCAGACCTCTCCACGCATCTCGCGCACATGTGTGCGGCTCGTTTAAGGTGTAGCACGCACGCATTACGCGTGCTGTTGAGCAATGCGGCGAAAAGGACTACGTACTTAGAGTGCCTACACACGTGCCCTTAGTTGCACTCGCGAGGCTCGAGACGGAATGCCCCGACGCCCTCGTACGATTCCGCTGGAATTTCATTCTGAATCGCCATTCGCTAATTGCCAGTCGTATTATGAAAGGAGGACAATTCTCCGTGAAACGTTATATTTTTACCTCTCTTTTCCGCGGTGAAATAATCTTGGTCAGCAGGCTTCTCGGGGACGAGGTAGATACTGCAGTCTACGTGACACTGCTCTATCTCCATTTACGATGTGTCCTTGCGCATGTTCCTTCTGTGTTCGTCGATACTATGCGCTTCAAAATTCGAGGCATTCTAACGGTAACGAAAGAAATAAAAATATTAGGCGAAGTAAAGAGAAATCCATTATCTTTGCATTCAATTTCATCTAAAAATAATGGATTTCTTTTTATAAATACGAATACTGGAATATTCAGGTGGTGGCCATTGTTAACCTCGTCTTTCATTATGGTAGATGCATGAAATTGAATGCAAAAGTAATGGATTTCTTTTTACTACACCTAATATAATGAAAGACGAAGTAGGTTGGCCACCATTTGAATATTGCAGTATTTGTATTTATAAAAGGAAAGCCATTATTTTTGCATGAAATTGAATGCAAAAATAACGGATTTCGTTTTACTTCACCCAGTATATTCATATTCTATGTATCGTCTTTTGCAATACCTTTGTTTATTAATTCCGGACCTTCGTTTATAACTAGGGCTATTGAAATTGTAACAAAAGAAATTAAGAATGTAGAATATGTGTATGAAGATTTTCTATGGTACCACTCCAAATATTCTGTCTTCATGGGATAGGTTTATGAGGGCTATAGTTGTCTTCTATCGTGGTTCCTATGCTGGCTGATGTTCCTGTGATGATGTTCCTGTTAGTATCCCCGTGGTCAACGTTGCTATTGATAGGGTAGCAGATAGGAGGACTATAGAAAAGTGAAGGGGTGCGTTTCGTCCCGGGTCTGCTAGTTTACTCATCGGTAAGGCTTTCTTCTAGCAAGCTCTGCCTTAGACTGAGATACTTAGGTAGCACAGGAACTTCTATTTAAAGAAGGTCGAGGCTTCACCGAGGACTCGCGAGAAAGTCCTCGAACCTCCTTCAAGTGGGAATCCATTTATTGCCAAGGGTGAGAACTTGGTCGCTACAAAGAATAAGGAAGAAAAATAATTGAAACGTACGTTCTTCTATAATATCTTCGATATATCTTCATCTTCATCTTCCATTTGTCGATCTTCCTCTCTTTAACCCTTTCACTCCTGTAGACGTTGCACGACGTCATGCTATAATATGGCTGCCTGACTGTGAACTAGATACAACGTCCATAGGTTCCAAAGCTATTAGAGCTTAGAAAATTTTGTTCTATTTGTTAAATTAATTCAAGACAGGGCGTTTGCTACTCTCTTCGTAACTCCGCTGTGAAAGAGTTAAAATTCGAGGTATTCGAGTCGTAATGAAAGAGATAGAAGAAAAAGAGAGGAAAAAGGATGGAAACGTTGCAAAGATTAATAGGAGAAAGAGACGGTGAAGATTTGGCGAGTAGCCGTGAATAACGGTTGTATAATTCGTTTAAACAATTTCCTTCGGGCAAAGAAATCGACTGTTGCCTTACCGGGCACGGGCTAATTTCGTTAATTACCTTAACGAAGCCGATATTATCACGTGCGGGTAACGATCCAGGATAATTATTACGCTGCACGGAGGAGGACGTTGAGGTCGCCGGGGCTGTACCTTTCATTTCGTATGCGACGCTTCCTGGAAGAACGTTGTAACAAGGGCTGCTGGAAAATGAGAAACGGAGGAAATGCTAACGCGGAAGCGTTTTTCACTCGAAACGAACTTGTTACCGTCGTATAAACACAGGGAACACGGCATATCTTCCGCCTTTATTCCGTCTCCGGCGAAACTATCTTTAGTAGAACATATCCGAAGACGGGAAATAATATATTAATCCTTTGCACTCGAAAGACGCCTCTCATTCGCTATTTAATCAGATTCTAAAGATGGATGTTAATTAATATATCAAATTTACAATTACCCAACGATGCGTGGAATATCGAAGTAAAATAATTCTACGCCTTAAATTGCATACGATTTCTTATTTACCGCCTTAAAAATATCGCCGAGTGCGAAGGGTTAAAATTCATTAATTAATTCAAAATCAATTTAAACGAAAGATTTGTTATTAAAAAATTCATTGAAAACATTGTTTACATATAAACTCTGTTTTTGAAATACATTTTCCGCGAACATTTCTGTTACATTTAGCGCAAAGGCTCTTACGTCTATTTCTATTGCACGATTCTTCAACTTGACAATTCTTCCGTGCGTCAGTGGTATGAATTTTTGTCAATGGAATGGAAGCGTTCTCGACATCTTCTCTATATTTACTTCTCAGCTCTTCAGCCAATTGGAAAATAAAATCTTTTCTCGAAATATTTACTCGAGTGGTCTCTTTATACAGAATCCAAGCACCGATAGCTGCTAAATCTAAAATGTTATAGAAAACTTGTAGCGGCCATCCGCGAGAGCCTGCTTTAACGCTATATTTTCGGGCGATTTGATCAAGTATATCCACGCCATACTTGGTGCTATTGTAAAATGTTACCGTTTCCGGAATAAGTCTTTTATTTTTTTCGATTATTATATTTTTATGTTTCGAACCTAGTGGTAAAACTTTTTTATCAGGCTTGCTTTTATAAATGGTTGCAAAAGTTGCCCAGGCCTGATGTGAGCTATAAATTTCACGCGTTACGCGATTAATTGTTAAATCATTTTACGAGTCAAATTGGCTCACGATCGTAAAAATAGGTATATCACGTTCGATAATGCGAAACGAATTCATTATACGTATATTTTAAAAAAACAATATTTACGTCTTATATATATAGTAATCAAATTTTTAACGAGTCATATAGACTCAGTCCGTAAATCTAGTGATAATTTGCCATATTGTTTAATAATTCATCATTATATAGAATAATGGAAATTTTATCATGATCCCCTGAGCGTACTATACAGAAACTGCGTGACAGTCAAAGTGTCAATCTACGAAATTAGACGACGTAATTGGGCTAGGTAATAAAGAACTTCGTGCAAATTCATCGTGAAACATTTATTCGTACTCGCATCTGTATGCACAGAGTAAAAATAAAAAAATCTGCCGCTCTCGCACTCGATGAAAGCGATTTACAAGATACGCGAAAAATGAAAGAAAAGTCCGTAGAAACGGGCTCTCCATCGTTGTTCCTCTTTCTCAATCCGTCGAATTGGAGAAAAAAAGATTGGTTGATCGACGAACACGAATTCAGGAGATTCCGAAAACAGCGATCGACCAGTTTACGGGCAAACGATCTACGGTGGCAATTAAAACCGTTGGTTTCTTCGTCAGCCAAGGACTTTCGCCTCGGTTGCACGAGGTCAGGTACACAGAGCCGCGGGTCCGAGGCCTCGTTTCACATTCGAGGAACACGAACGAACGCGCGGTTACCAGATGACCGTACAATCGTGCGGGTAATTAGCACGGAACTGGTTTCATCGTCGGATCGTTCATAATTCGTGTCCCGGCCATTAGCAGTTTCCCAGCGATCGCAATCGTCCAACACCGGGGCCCTTCTTTCAGCGTTCCGCAGAAAGCGCGTCCGCCCCGTGAGATACTCGCTTTTACTCTCGATACCCGTGTATTCTTTTACCCCCGTTACCCTCTCCCGCTTTGTCCTCTCCCCCGTTCTTGCGCCGGGACTAATCGATTTCGATGCCCGTTCCTTTATTGCAGATTCTCAGGATGTCGATCTGGATGCCATCCTCGGCGAGCTGTGCGCGCTGGAGCGCCGCTGCGATGGCGACATCGCCACTACACCTGCGCCCGACTCCCAGAGACCGGGTCGACCTAACAGCACCAGAATCACAGCTGGCGACAATACCGATATCGGCAAAAACGAAGGAGGTAATTCGCTTCTCCACAATTTCATTTCGTTTATCCAAATAGACAATTTCTCCGATTTTATTCCCCAATTTTCTTTCCTTTTTCATTGCGTTTTTATTTTATCGCACTTGTCGAGCAATTGAGAGACGAGAGTGATTATCGATGCTAGGAAATTCACAGTCCAGCGTTTTCCGTGACAATTGCCCGACGACGTGTGTACCACGTCGTTGGCGATTCTGCGACGAAAGCATTACGACGTGTGTGACACGTCTTTCCAGCGCAAGTGGTTAACATAATATTTTAAAAATTAGATCGGCATCTGAGATTCTATCGCCTAGAAATTTCAATTTTGCTCAGGAGTACACGTGATTAGGAAGAATTTTTTTGATACTTCATCGATATAATACTCGTGTTTCGCGAGATCGTGTTCCTAATGGCTGTGAGGTACAAGGTATACGTTTGTGTTTCGTTCCTTTGTGACAAATGTTCAATCTTGGCGATGCATTATGCTTCTCTATGACATGCAATGTGGAGAAGTCAGTCTTCCTCCAGCCATGGCATCACGTGTAAAGATTAAGAAAGGATTGTAACAAGTATTTGTATGTCAAATACGAAGAAAGTCTACGTTTATTCTATAACAATGGCACGTGGTGACGTAACAGTCACGTAATTTTCCTTTTTCCTTCCACGAGGGTTGCTTTGAACGATACCGTTAAGATTTAGACTATGGGCACGTGGAATTGTCCAATCAACGGAATTTACCCTCCACGGTTGAGCATCGTTCGAACCTTTGCATCGACGTCATCTGATTTGCAGAACACTCGACTGTACGGTTAGGTGAAACAGTCACTCCGAAGTTGTAATTGCGAGGCTGTTTGCTCTTGTACCTCCCGCTTTGTTTAACAACTGTCAAATATTTGTTCCAGCTATGCGCACCGATAGTCCTGACAATGACAGCGCGTTCTCGGACACGGTGTCGATGTTGTCCAGCGAGAGTTCCGCGAGCAGCAGCGGTTCCGGGCACAAACCACCTCAGACCGCCATGCACACAGGTCCCCAGCAGCAATCTCACCAACTCATGGGTGAGTTTCGACTCTCGCTTCGATCCTGCGATCGCTATGGATCTTCCAGATTTCATCTTATTTGTAATTCTGTAATTTTACTCCAACACTTTGGTAATACCTATAGAAAACAATAAAAATACTAATTACGCGATAAAACTAGCCTACGTCTACCGTGTAAGGGATTACACTCTTCCCATCGGTGGGAACACTTGAAAATTGACCAACGTGTGTCACGATTGAAATCTGGAATCGTATTCTAACTGTGACTTAATTTTCTTTGACAAGACGCTGCGAGCCGAGTCAAGGCAGAGAAGATCCGCTTGGCGCTGGAGAAGATGCGCGAGGCCAGCGTTCAGAAGCTCTTCATCAAAGCGTTCACCTTGGACGGCAGTGGCAAAAGCTTGCTCGTAGACGAAGGAATGAACGTGGCACACGTGTGCAGGCTTCTCGCCGACAAGAATCACGTGCCAATGGATCCAAAGTGGACGGTGGTCGAGCATTTGCCTGATCTTTTCATGGGTAAATATATTTCGATTGCACTCCCATCGGTCGATTTAAGGAACAGTGTCTCACATTTCGTTTCAATCTTTCAGAGAGGGTATACGAAGATCACGAGTTGCTGGTAGAAAATCTTTTACTGTGGACCAGAGACTCGAAAAATAAGCTGCTTTTCGTCGAGAGGCCGGAGAAAACTCAACTGTTTCTCACCCCGGAGAGATTCCTCTTGGGTCCGTCTGATAGGAGTAGCAGCGAATACGACGATCACTCGCGTAACATTCTTCTGGAAGAATTCTTTTCCAGCAGTAACGTTGGCGTGCCGGAGGTAATTAATCGTCGCTCTTGATACCTTTGATTTATTACGTGATAGTTTGGACTACTATCTTATCGCGTCGTCTTGTAAAAATATTGCGAAAGGAGAAAGATAATACGCTAACGCGATTAATCTTGGAGTAACATGTAAGAAACTGATTGCGCGAATGACACGTATAAATAAATAGAACGATCAGCATAGATATAATTAAAACGGTATGAAAGTTTTAATTGCAAATGTGACTGGATAAGTTTATACATTAACTGTATTAATTCCTTAGGTCGAAGGACCATTGTATCTGAAATCCGACAGCAAGAAGGGCTGGAAGAGGTACCACTTCATTCTAAGAGCATCTGGCCTCTACTACTGGCCGAAGGAAAAAGCACGTACAGCTCGCGACCTGGTTTGCTTGGCCACTTTTGACGTGAACCAAATCTACTATGGTATTGGTTGGAAGAAGAAGTACAAAGCTCCAACGGATTTCTGTTTTGCCGTGAAACATCCTAGATTGCAGCAGCCAAAATCGACCAAGTACATTAAATTCCTCTGCGCGGAGGATAACGCGTCCTTAGAACGTTGGATGGTTGGTATCAGGGTTGCCAAGTATGGACGACAGCTGATGGAGAACTACAGGACACTAGTTGATGAACTAGCTCAGGAGGATCTCGACATGCTGGCCCACGCAAGATCCTGCTCCGTTAGCTCGATAGCTGTACCAGCTCAGAATCAAACCCAATACAATACGACCAACGATAACGCTCGTCAGTTCACGGAAAACTCGAGGCATAGCGCGGATGTGGCCAATGTTAGACAGTACGATGGTCAAAGACAAAGTTACAATTCCGAGCAACGACAGAGTTACAATAACGACGGTAGGCTGAGCAGAGCTAGTAGCTCAAGTTCCAGTGGATGTTTGTCCGATGGAGCACCGAGTAGTTGCGAGGTAATTAAATCTATTTTTTAATGCTGTTGATACAGGGTGTTGTCTGTGTTACAAGTTCCTTTATTTCTTATTGCAGGTAGCCTTCGAGTGCGGTGAGTTTCCAACGGGTACGATAAAGCGGAAGCCCTCGATGAATCCGAAGTTGCCGCTAACATCGATCACGAGACAATTGAAGGAAGTAGGTGAGACAGTCCGCGACGAGCCAGATTCTTGTCCAAGTCCAACTAGCTCGGGTTCTGGAACGTTGACAAGAAGGCACAGTCGAAGAAGGAGCGGTACTGATTCCGATGGATCTGGAACATTGAAGAGACACCATCGTTCTGGCAACGCGACTCCGGTTAGTCCTGTACCGCCTGGCACACCGGTTAGAGAAAGAGCAAGTCCAATGGGATACAATAGATCAGAGACCCAGGAATCGAAGACTCCTACTAGTCCAATACCTTCGTGTATGGTGAGTGTTTATTGTATATATTTAAACTTGACTGTTACGAGAAAAAGTCACCGTTGATTGAGGTTTATAAGTAATATATTGTTTATAATAATATACGAGTAAAAATGTGTGTTCTAAATTAATAAACTTCGATAACGTTCAAGAGAATATATCTTCTTTATGTTTCGCAACGTTGTTAACTCGAAAATACGATACTTTTGCAGATGGACTCGATTACTTCATTGCCACCGCCACCATCACCATCAAGAGTCACAGAGGAAACAGAATCAGATAACGAACCACTTCCTCCACCCCCGCCAGAGATGTTCCGATCAAATCTTTCTCTGGATTCTCTGCCACCGCCCCCGGCACCTGGTGAACTGCCAGTATGCAATACTCCCGAGCTCACCGGGTCTTCGTTAAGTTTGGCGTCTCTTCCGCCACCTCCAAGTCCTCTAGTTGGTGAAACAGGAACTATTCGCCGTGCTAGGCCAAAGCAGTCTACGCCTACAAATTCAGTGACTCCGGAGAGTACGCCAACACATGCGCCATCCAGACCATCTGCTAATCAGCAGATGTATTCGAACCCTAGCAACCCGACGATGCAGAATAGCCAGAGCTACAACTCAAATGCGCAGAACGCTATTCACGCGAACAATGCAACTAATTCGGTGCCCTCTCCGCACAGTTCCTATCCAGGGTCCAGCGCCAGCACGCCAACGTACGCTCCAAGTTCGCCAAACTTTGCCTCGCCACCGCCATTTGTTCCTCCCCCAGCTTATGGGTCGCAGCAGCAACACAGTAACAGTTCCAGCTTGACGAGACAAAACTCAAAGGCGGAATCGATGTACGGAAGTCACCAGACGGTTCACCAGCACAATACCGTTCAGCCAATCAGGCCAAACCCAAACATGGACACCGTGCGACGAAGTGCCATGAAGCAAGGCTCGGGTCACTATGCGGCTCCACCTTATCTAGCAGAGCTAAAGGCTGCCTCCAGTCCCCAGCCTCAGCGTAGAGTGACCATTCAGGAGCCACCGACGTCGCCCAAGTCTAAGACGGGTACTGGCAAGAAGATCACGTTCAATCTTCCGCCGCAACAGGAGCCAGGCAGTCCAGCTTTGCCACAGAGAAAGCCGATGCCACCGAGGAGGTCGGACAGCACGAGGCTCACATCGCCTAAGAAACTTGCTGCGTCTGATCAGGCGCCCCCGGGTGATTTTTTGAAGGATCTTCAAAGAGTAATGAGGAAAAAATGGCAGGTAGCGCAAAAATGCAAGTTAGATTCGACCACAACTCCACACGAAGTTCTCGGTTTCCGCGATCCACCGCCTGCCGTGGCAGATTACAGAGAAACCAACGTGTCGAATTGGGTTCAGGAACATTACGGAGCAGATAACCTGTACGAGAACGTCTACGCGACCGATCCACACGCTCCGGTGGAGTACGCATCCAGTCCAGCTCGGCAATCCACTGTCAGATTCGCCGACGAGAATCGCAGCATTAACATCGTGAACGCGATCGCGAGTAAAAGAAGGCCACCTCCGCCACCGCCGAAAAGGGCAGAGACCACTCATTTGACCACTACCAGAGCGATGCACTGACAATAGCAGATACTTCAGCCCCACCCCGAAAGGCGATGGCTTTGCTGTCTGTGCAGCTGGTGGAAAGGCTAAGAGAGGGCGAGAGTAATTCGCTTTGTTCTCTGTGATTCGGTCACCGTTTCGAGGTCCTAATATCAAGTCTATACGCTGATCGTCCTCTGCGTTTATCGTACACCTCCGTTACAATACGCGACGAAAAGAAAAGCGGGAAGATGGCCGATTATCCTCGGAGAGAAGCTCGGCTTTGTGTTGTTCGCGTACATCGCGAAAGTTTTGCATGGGATCGGCCTGCCTGGAAATCCTTGGTATATCTGTCCGGAAATTAAAACAGCCGTTCTGGGATAATCGATGTACATTTTAGGGTCTCGAGGACGAATGTCTGATCGATATTGCCAATCGGAAACTGATCACGACGAACGAGCGTCGAGTCAGAGGCTCGACCTCGGCCGGTCGAATATATAGGAGAATTTTTTTTAGCAAACGAGTTTGGTATACTGCGATACGGAGCTGCAGGTTAATTATCAACGAGTTCGATGTCAAACATCAATCTGAGCGCCGAGTTCTCGACGGCCGATCAAGTTTAGGGCGTAAGGAAAACAAATACTGCCGCACATATTGAGGATGTGATATAATAAGTCTTAAGCTGCTACATTCGTTGTCCCTCTGAGAGCCGAGGCGATTAATGATTCGCGTGCGATTTCGATCTCGAGCTCTGTCGAGAGCCGGACGCCACGAGCGCGGTCCTCTCGGTTCGCGGCAATCGAATTTAAGGGAAGAAAGGAGAAAAAAAAGAAAAAAAAGAAATGGAGAAGAACGCACGAGAATCGCGATCGCATTTCTGTGTGCAAGTTAATAATCCAGAGTTAACTAGGCTTAGCTAAGTATCTCTGATGTCCGCTGACACGCGTTAAGTAAGATGAAAGGACGGTTGTTTATTGCGTTATTCCAAAGGAACAATTATATCGTGACACGAGTAACACGATAGAGAAACAAGATGGAAGTTTTGTTACGAAGAGAACTATACTTCTTGGACACACGGAATGGAAAACGAGAACAGGAGGATCTGGAGAGACACCGTTCACAGAACACACATGATCACACGTATTGCGTTTTCTTTTCTTTTCTTTTAAAGCCTCGTACATAGGTGTGTATGTATATAAATGAAACACGTATGAGCGTTTATATCAATATATCGACTTTTTGATGCTGTATGTTTAGATGATATCGTACGATATTGAAATATCCTCTGCGACGTGTACACGATAACGCATAATCTACTCGATAAACCACGATCGTGAACGTCGCGCGCGACGCTATTTGCTCTTCGTCGACGAGGCTATACACACATCCACGCATACACGTACAGATACTCAGAATTTCTACGACCAACGCGATCGTTATGCTAACTCTAACGTTTCAACGCTACAACGCTACAACTTGAGATCTCGTTCATGCCATTTTCATCTCTTCTTTCCGTTCCCGTTTCGCTGCTTCAATTCCCGATTAGATTATCCACGAAATCGAAACGTGACTTGTTCAACGGGTTTATACTTCAGAGCCGCTGAATAATTTCTTCGTCGTCTTCGGATCGACGAGTGAACATAAGCAATCGTGGAGCTTGAAATTGATTTGTACCGAGGGCGAACACTCCGTCGATGTTTTCTTACCGACCGTACACGTTCATCCATATCACAATAACCGAAGTAAGACGAAGAATCCATATTATGGTCGATGCAACGTGATTTGGTGCACAATCGACTAGAACAGTTTTTAATACACATGTAAAAGCGACTTATAGATTCCATAATCGGTTTGTACCAAATCGGATACTCTTACATTATTAATTACATACCAACTACATAGTATAATACCGACTTGCGTCATTCGAACGTTTCCAACACCACAGCTCGGTGCGTTATTCTCACAAGTCCATGGCTCATCTGTGAAACAATCATTAGGTCAACTTACTATCAACTGTCTATCAACTTCAAGTCAAATCCTCAGCGAAAGAAGTCGATCAAGGACTGTCTCATAGAGCATCTGTCGACTGTTCTATTATCTCATCATTCATCCGTTCCTGTTTCAATCTTTCTAATCAATGAATCGTCAGGGCAACGTAACATATGCTCTACTATATCGTTTTATACAACCATATCGATTAAGAGTAAAAACGAGGAACGGCATTCTGCCATTCGTACTCGCGTGATCGCCGATGAAACTTTCAGCAACGACTGAAGAGGGTCTCTCATTGGCCAGCACGAGTCATCTATCTTTTTTATATCGAACCACCATCAGGACCGTTGCCATCGAATTTCGCCTGTCTTCGCGCGTCAGCGTTTATCCTTTCTCGATATATCGATGGGAACACGATCCTGCGTGCTTGTCGGACTATTCTGGGTCGCGTTTTGAAAGAGAAGACTAAATAAAGAAGGGGGAAATAAAAATAGAAGAGGAGGAAGAATGGAAGCGGTGAAGAGGAGTCTCGTCGAGTCGCGCAAGCTTTTTACGACGTTTTGAGGTTATGTACCGGACGAAGCGACGAAGATACGATATTTTCTACTAGCCGATTTTGATAGCAGCTAGATATCAAAGGGCGACTTTTCTACGCATATCCAGTGCCTCTCCTGGTGAGCTTTTTTTCTATCTCGAAATACCGACGCACGAGACTCCCGCGACCATTCCTCGAAACGGTATAATTCATAAGGGACGCAAGAGAGGGCGTTGACGTCGATTTAGAATGGTACTCGTCTGCCGTGCACACGCGGTCCAATTAAACTGAACCAATAATAGTAACGGTAACGATATTGATAACAATATTCGTCATTTTGGGACTAATCTTATCGATCTTAACCGGCAATATCGACTGTCGTCTTATATGTCTGTCTTTTAAGGGCAGACTCGCGTTTCTGCGACCGATCGTCCTGGCAGGCTTTTCCGTGTCCAGGACGGTCCGCTTGACCACCAACTAGTACCACGTGGAGTTCCTTCAACGCGGTTGCTCGAGGTTGTAGAGGGGAAGTATGACTCGGACAAATTATAGGTACGACTCGAGGAAAGAATTTGAACCGATACACCGGCAGGGAGTGGTTTTAATTTTATAACGGGACATTCGTGATTCGGAAAGACGATCGAAAGGTACGATTCATCGTTCCGAATCGACGCTGATAGAAAGCGAAGAAAGTTTTCCCCTGTCGATCGTGAGAAATTGAGAAATAAATAAGCGTACAATTTTAATTCAATGTCTATAAGAACGAATTTTAATGTTTAAGATAAGAAGCTGCAAAAGATTGTTCTCTTTTTCTTTTCTTTTTCTCTTTTCCTTACTTTCAATACTTTTTTAATATTTTACAAATGGAAACTATAATATACTTTTGAATAAATGTCCGCCAGGAAAGTTTTTATTACTATGAAACACTCTGTAACCCATACGATTTAAGCGATGTTTTTACGTATCTGTATTATTTGTAAGGTTTGATTTATTTATTTTAATTTTGTACATAATTGTGATTCGAAAATTAGTACAAATATTTAATAAAAGTATGTAGAAACGAAAACGATGTTTTAAGTTTATATCATAATTTAATGTACAGAGATCTGCTCTCGCAGCGATATTCATTTCATTGTTAATTCTCTAAGGTTAATCGAAGTTAGAGATGAAAACCGTAGCTAGACGTCTGGGTTACAGAGGGAAATTTATACGTTTATTTAACTCGTGTCTTTTCAGTTTCAATATCACCGAGCATTGAAATAAAATTCCGCCGAGAGAGAGCGCAACGGAGTACTCGAGCCACGACGAAAAAGAAAAAGAACCTACACCGTAAGGAAGCAATTTTATCCTTCGATTCGGAGCTTCTCGAATCTTCGCGACGTATTTAAACTCGAGACAAGAAAGAAAAAGGAGAAAAGGAGTTACGGAATATCGTTAGAAGTCGCGTTTCATCGCAAACGAGCATGCTTTACGACAGTCGAGCCTCGCTTCTCTCGAACAACCCCGCCAAGCCCGCGCCACGTGGTTCCAGTTTCCCGGAACTTTTGTAAAAACGGCCTGTGCGCCGACGCGAAGCGAACCACTCCTTTTTATACCCGTACAGTTTAAGGAACATTAATCGAGCTAAACGACAAGAAGAAGGAGCATAGAGAAAGAGCGAGAGCTAGGAAAACGGAGAGAGAGAGAGAGAGAGAGAGAGAGAGAGAGAGAGCGACAGAGGAAGTATGTGGAAAAACAGGAGGTAGCTTTAGCTAGCTGTAGATCTCGTGCTTGATCGTTTCCGTAGCGCTGATGAACGCTGATTTCATTGAGTGCCGCACACTTGGAGCGCCGGTAAGAAGGATCGCGACCGTTCGGCAGGATCCACGCGATCGAGCGATCGTTTGATCCTCGAGGAGAGTAATTTAACAGCGAAAAAGTCACATTCGTACGCGCTAAAGATCGCGTAATCGACATCGGTTGACTGGAAAATCGAGATTCCCTTGCGTAAGAGGGTCGAGTGGAACGGTGGAAACGCGCGAGCCGCGCAAGATGGCGCACGATCGCTCGCGACGCATGACGGGACGGATAACGACGAACGATGTAGATGGCGCGTCCGTAGGACGACCACACGGAGAGGAAAGAGGTGGGAAAAGATAAGATGTTTATCGTCGTGTACCGTATCTACTACCTTCTTTTCTTCTTTCTTCGATACCGTGCATACCCTCTGTTGTACCTACGTTTTTTGTAAATATTGTAACGAACACGAGGCAGAGTGCAAACGGAGAAAAGGATCCAATGGAAAGGGAAAGAAAAATGAAAGGAACGATCGTCGAAGGGTCGTGAGACGCCCGCGACCGATTTTAATAATGTAAACGCACTATTTATGACGACGGGAGACGTGATTTTTCGTTTTTACACGCGTACACACGTACGGATCGTATCGAGGGGACGGGCAGAACGAAATACTGGGGGAGGGGGGTGAAAAAGGAGGGGAATAAAAGTATATAAGAGGGAATCCAGTCCTGCGAACGGAGCTCCACTGCGTTTCGTTTGATTTATCCGGTTAGCTGTTCGACCGACGAATAAGAACGAACCCTCTGGACACTGTGTTTGCAATCTTATCGATTACGTTTCTTTTAAGCATATTTTAGAGGTTAGATCCGTTTAATGGTTGTTTTTTTGCCGCTATTTTCCTTCTTTCTCTTCTTTCTGTATTCTCTTCTTTTCTTTCTCGGACTATCGCGACGTTGGAAGAATGCGACAATATCGATTAGTTTGAAAAGATCTTTCTCGACGCCGATTGTTTTTTTTTTTTTTTGGCATATATTGACACAGGATGGAAAAGGAAAAAATGCAAGCAGCAGTTGAAATATTATAGGTATTATATTCATGTTTTTATGTAAATAAATTTTTGGTATATTTCAATGATCGTCGACTCGTTTCTTTCTTGCCCTTCGTCCAGGTCGCCATGCCAGGTTGCTTTCAGATTAATCTCGTGTCATCCACGGTGGAGCGTGTAAGTAATTCGGTGGAATTATTTCCAAGGAATTAATTCGACGTAACGTGTCTGATAATTTCCACGTGCACGATTAATTCCAGCTCGATGTAATTATTTATCCCACTTTGCAGGCTAGAGACACTTTCTAAGTGATTTCAACGTGCCCAATTTCAGAACAGGTCTGGAAATATGAAATCTCACTTTGTACATCAGTATTATCTTCCACAAGTGCAATTTCCAAGTGCATCGAGTCGTCAGACGCCATTTTTATTGCTCCATTGATGCGTACCAGTCGTAAAATCGGTACTTGATTTTACGGATCAAACTTGACGTGTTTCTATAGGTAAAACAACCCTCTTTCTTCGTCTCCGTGCGTATTTTTCGAGGAACATCTCGAATCAGGGGGCCAAAATGTGCACGGTAGTACGCGAGCGATAAAACCGTGCTGGTTGCTGTTCATAAAGCCGTGGAATAAAAAAAGCTCGGTTTTTAATATTCCCTTGGTGCACTGGGGGCCGTGTCGCGCAAGTACGCATAAACTGTTCGGCTATTGAATTTTCTTTGCATAAAGCCGATGCTCGTATATGCTCGTATAACGCAATCTCGTAGCCTGATATCCGATGGAAAAATTAAACGGCCATTTTCGGTGTTTCGACGCTTCGTCGGGCGATTTTTCAATCTCGCCGCGCGAAATCGCTTTATCTCGCGAGGCAAATTCTGTAAACGGAATTTCATCACCGGTGTAATGATCGAACGCGTGTATTAAGTTTGCGGGAATTATTGGAAGAAAAGGTAGTGTGCACCGCTTTCCCAATTTCTCCTCCCATTTTTTCCGGCTTCTCGTACCCCTCTACTTTCTCCTAACCTTTTTGATCGACGTTTATAGCACCGCGACCAATATACTTAGTACCTTTGTATAATTCAGCACTCGTGAGAAATGTAACGTATATGATATACCGATATAAAAGAACGTATATTTATTCGCGGACGGAACTATAAGGAAATGACAATAAAATAAATCGATAATTAAATTCGTCTATGAAAACGCAGTAATTTCTTAGATTAGATAAAATGTAATAAATAGGTTAGGTTAGATAAAACGTAATAAAGAGATTAGGTTAGATAAAACGTAATAAATAAGTTAGGTTAGATAAAACGAATAAATAGGTTAGGTTAGATTGCGAAGAAAAATACCGCGCTATAAATTTTTACAGTTCCAAAAAATTTTCATTCCATTCATTCGTCAGCTACGTCAAAAAGTATCTAGATTAAATATTCAGGTATCTCGAAAATATGTATACAAACGGTTGTCCGTTAAAATCACAGAAAGCGTGTGGTAGAAGGTAGAAATCCATAGGATTATTGAAGGAACTTTACAAAGTCAGTTTATTTATTTCCCTGCTAGAAGGAACAGGTGGCATAACTTAAAACGAAATATTTACTCAGGAAGGTAGCGCGACGAGCCAGTGTTGTTCGAGTCGTCGAACGGTGAGGTCGTTGGAGCGCGAGACTGGCTGAAAATCCGAGTCGCGGCTGACGTTACGGTTCAACGTGCCCGTGACAATTACAGCCGTCTCGATAAGTAAGTAATTTCCTTTTCAGGGTTACTGCTTTCGTAACCATGGCCCATACATTACCTTCACCTATGTTGTTTCATAACTCGAGGAGATTGACGTAAATATATGAAATTGCCGGCTGGCTGGCCGCCGCCCGTGGGCGCGGGGCACAATTTTATAGGTTCCTTTTACGACTTATGGGAGTCGTGTGTTCTACTTTGCGTTTACGTTATACGCGACCCTCGAGCGTTTACGTCCCTCTCCGTCGGGGACCCTTCTTCTGCTCTGTCTCCATCTTCCTCTTTTCTATCAGGAGCCATCCGAAAATTCCTATCTCGTTTCCCTTTCCAATTCTTCCAGGGCCTAACCCGCCCTCGTGTCTCCCTGTGCACGCACGGGAATACGAAAGCGTCCACGAAACGTTTACGCGTTTCATTTCGCGGCTGAAATTCATTCGTTCGTCTCGTGCTGCGCCGCGAAATTTTTGTCTCTGTTGTTTCCAGCGTTATCGAACTTTGTTGCTTTCTTAACGCTGGTTCCGTGCATACGGGCTCGCGAAGCTCTCGATGCTATCTCGTTCGGTACTGAAACCGTGGCCGGTGCTCGTTCCAGGCGAATAACCAATCGGCCGGACGGTAAAGCAGAGAATTAACGACGGTTTAAAATATAACGGATAACTCGAAGTTCGGCGACACGTTAACATTAACGTTAAAGTTACCGGTTCGTAAATTACCACGCGTGTTCTATCGCGTTGCAGTTTACGCTCCGCGAGCCTAGGTGGTTCCCCCTCCACGCGCTCCGCGCTAATGCCATCTAGCGGTTTTAATTCCTACTTAGTGAATGCCGCGCGGAGTTACCGACCGAGTAAACAGATCGCGAGACTCCGCGCCATTAGCTCGTTCGTGATTCGCGAAACTTCGCGTTTATACGTAACAGAGAGCTACGTATTCGATACCGTATGCGTGTAATGATCAGACGAATCGGGAGTGAGCACGAAACACGCGTAATAAACGTTGAAACGATCATTCGGTCGAGCGAAAGAGGCAATGGCGGGTACAACGGAATTCGTCGCGTTCGTAACATCGGAAACTGCGCGTGTACGAGACAGGGAGCTCTGTGCTCGACAGCAACGACACGAACGATGCTCGGATGAATCGCGAGAGGGCTGGAAAGACGCGTAATCGACGCGCAGCAGATTATCCGGGGCGAGGAGTCGGTCGGTGGAACGGAATGGTGGTCCCGAGCAGGCGGAACCTTTCGGGATGTTGGAAAATAACGCGAAGCACGGAAAGGTCAAAGTGTCTTAAGAGAGCGGAGAGGAACGCGGCGGTTCTCGTGGCGCTGCGTCGACCTCGCACAGCCATCCCGGCGTGGAACGAACGGACAGATAAAACAGACACGAGTGGGGAACCGAGGCAGGATAGTGGAACGTTTCGAGCGGTCCGCTTTCCAGGAACACGGGCGTAAATCACGATTTTATTACGGATAATTTTACGAGGAGTCGAGCTCGCCGCCGCCGACGCTGTTCCAGTGTCGGCTACCTTAAACTCGTAATCGCGCGTCCCGTGATGCTCTCGGCCCACGGCCGCGAAATCGTTAGCGAATTAGAAAAACGAGGCGAGCCAATGGGGGAAGAACCTAGCTGGAACTCGATCTTCGGCGACGTTTTTGCCAAACCGCCTATCGCTCCAGGTGTATCGAGCCTCTCGAGGTCTTCTTTCGAATTTCACCGTCTAGACCAAGCCTCGCTGCCTTTCGTCTTCATCCTTGCGTTCCGACGGTTTTCGTCTTTCGAACGACGATATCTAACATCGGCGTTTGTAATTAAATCGATCAATTCTGAAAATATCGTAGATAAACGTAAAATTTCGATTATGTTAGATTGGTCGTGTATTTTAGGCGCATGAAAATTATAGTTTAGCCTTTGAAATTTGTAATAACGCGAATTTAAGTTTCCTTTTATTTCGAGGACTAGTTGCTACTCTTCTTCCTCGCCTTCTTCGCTAACAACTCTGTTTTCTCCTCTCTCTCTCTCTCTCTTTCTTTGTTTCTATCTATCTCCGTAAGAATCTCGGAGCGATTAAAAAAAATCTGCAAAATCGCCGGAACCTGTAATGCACTTGCGAGTTTCAAAACACGTTTGGGAAAAATCGATTAGCAGA